CACAAACACACACACGCACACACACACACACACACACACACACACACACACACACACACACACACACGCACATATAAACGCATACTGCTATTGCACTGTATTACGCTGTTGCATAAATACGTCTAGACCCCTGGTTACCAACCGGGGGTACTAGTACCCCATGGGGGTACCAGCGAACACCACAGGGGGTACCTGGGAAGCCTCTTAGGCAATTTAAAAAAGTAGTGCTATATAATAATCAGCGGGTGATTCAGGCATCTCTATCGACAGTGCCAACAAGTCATGGTTTTTGGTCGAGATCTAGTCCCCAGTTCTGAAAAATGTGACCGTCGTCGTGTATCGTGTAAACCGTCCAAAATACCGTGGCTAAACGCACACTAACTGTTACAGTGCATTGTTCTTCCCACTAACAGTTTCTGCATGCATATGACTATTGTATATTTGTGACCTATGCTAGGATTTCTAGGCGCAAGTCGCTGGGTATTGTTTTTAGCAAAATGCAAAATAATGTGAAAAGTCATCACCTGGTGAAATTTCTGATTTCAATGTATTTACACTGTCTATAGTATTTTCTTTCATTTGCCGCCAGCATAATCCATTCTGATTTGTACAACACCATTAAAATTCGCATTTAAAATGACTCATTGGACCTTTTGTCTTTGGTTTTGACTTGTAAAATCAACGAAACTGCAAATGGCAACAGAAAATGACAATAAACTTTAAATCAGTTTTTCTTAAAATTAAGGTTTTTTAACTTTCAATCTTCAAATTATCAGGAAATTATCATATCTTTGGAACCAAACGAGCTAGGAGGTTCATCTATGGCTTGTTTTCAAGCTTATTAAGTATAGAATGTGGTTCTATTATTAACTCAAAATCTAAAATCTGACCCATGCGCCTAGAAATCCTAGCACAGGTCACATTTGTCAGAAAGAAAATTTTTTGCTGAAATTACCTGCATTACGTAAGTTCGCTATAACTTACTAATGCTGCTCATATTCGATTCGGGTTAAATTAGGACATTAAGACTGTGTGCCCTTGTCGGTGTTACTTTGGCGATTCTCTGAATAATAGCTACCCCACATTGTAATTTTGCTGTGTGCGTGTGATACTCACTGTGCGACTGGCTGAGCGTTCCGTCGTCGACCTCCACCGGACGGCGGTAGACGGTTGAGGGTCAACCCAGGCTCCTGACGATTCGTTCCGCTGACCACGGAGCATTCACACATCTCGGGGTGTTTAGCAACCAGGCCTATGCCACCCAAGTTCCCAATTCTTAACGAGGTTTCAAATGGATTTCAGTCGCGACTTTAGCTAAGGTTTTGGCGGATTTTAGTCGCGACGTTAGTTAAGATTTCGATGGATTTCCTTCTCGATTTTGCTTTTTTTTCCTCGCGTCTCATCTCTATCGCCCGTTCCTTGAGCCGATCCTTACTGTGTCACGTTCTATTGTGTCATGGTCCAACTATATTATAGAGCCGATCCGCGCACCTATGTAAGTGTATTTAGTCGAGTTGTTTCTTTTTGATTAAACGCGTTGGTTGGATGTGATGCATAAAGTAATATATCTTCGTTTCGAATCTATGCTTCCTCGTTCGCAGCCACACACCACGTGGCAGTTCAGTCGAAGTCAGAATCCAGTGATCGAATCTAGAGACGACCGAGGTTATTGCGGCATTACACTTCTATTATCTACTCCTGGTATTATAATATATAAACTATATATATTAACATGAATCTCTCTATTCATGTTGTTTGTGCACGCAGCACAGGGCGGGCGTGGTGTACTTGTGTGTTGCAGATGAGCATTTGACCGGGCATTTACAGGTGATTATACGGCGGAATCGCGTGAGAGGAAACATTAAGACTTTTGTACATTTCGTGTTTATTTATATTAATAATTTTTTATTGAGACGTTCCAATTAAGTGCCTGTGCTCCGCGGCACTGCGTGCGGACTGCGGAGGATAACTACTTGTACTTCGTCGAGTAGACGTGTTTGTATGGTTAGCCTGTGTTGTGACTAGCGTGTATTGTGTGTGCGTGTTGACAGTATCGTGAGTAGCGGCGTTGTGTTTTACGTTTGGAGCTTTATTTCGATATTATATCAATAAAATGTAGTTTATTGATGGAAGAGCAGTGATTTTCGTCAGCGAGGCGGTGTTTTGGATAAATTTCTGCGTGGCGGCTGAGAATTTGAGCGAGGCGGCCGCCTAGCTCGCGTCAATGCAGGGGAAACACTGCGTGTGCATGCAGTGGCGCCCGCAGATAGAAGCACTGGAAGCACAGTGCTTCCAGTAAATTTTGGGTTAAACAATTTTGTTCCTACATTTTGTTCCTAAATCTCTCTCGCAAGACTCACCAGATGGGCATGCCCCCAGACCCCCCTAGCATGCAGCGCGGCTACGGCGCTTGCTTTTTATTATCACTGAGGATTTTATCCTTCTTTGCTTCTACTTTCTTAAGACCTGTGGGCGCCAGTCGCAGTAAGAATGATGCGCCTATCGCACACACGGTGCTACATATGTGTTCGTGCACTTGCTGTTGTTGTATTTGCAACTACGAGAATTGCTGCGCGCAGGGCAGTGGCGACACCTAGTGGACTAAAATCAAATATGTTATGATGTCCCTCTTCCTTCTATCAGTTAATCTCACTTTTTATTGAACGGCTAGAATAATGTCGTTAAATCATAAATGCATAGAGAGACCAACTAATTGGTATAATATAGAGCCTAATTGGTATATTATTTTCTCGTGTAGTGTTCCCTATTGGTGACCGGCCTAAATGCTTTACGAAGTCACGCGAGTTTCGTTACGATGTGCGTCGGATATGGCCGTGGCGAACTCTAGCAAGCAAATATTTGAAATATTAAATTTTACACTGGGAAAGTAGTCATGAGTATGATGATGATGTATGTATATAGTTATCCGCTAGATGGTGCATAAATGCGAAACTCCGAAATCGCTTTAAAATGTAACGCTCTTTTTCCTGAGGGCGCCAGCATCCAATGGCATTAACCCAGCTTCTTCCTCATCTTTTGGATTAAATATGCAAGGTAATTAACAGGGTGTGTGGAAGGATAAGGGGTACTACGTAGCAAGTGGCATGTGAGCGCAAAATGACTCATGATGGCAAAGTTGATGAGTAGCAGAATGAGAGAGAGAAGGGGCGAGAAAAGAGAAATAATGACATGCATAGTGGAATCGGGGTAAAAGAGAGCGCTGGAATCATAGAAATAATATACTACTAGGTAGGTCTCTATATATTTCTATGGTTTAAATGGAGGAGATAGATCATAGATTAGAGGTTTCATCGTCAATGTCCCAACTTAAGCATACAAAATCTTACCAATATTTTAAAACCCAACCACCGTTAAACCTGACGCGGTTAGGTATTTTACGTGTCCGATTCACTATGATAATATCAGGAGTAAGATAATATATAATCCTATATTATTATATATAGTATATAATATATTATATATTATTATATATATATTATATATAATATATAATCCTATATTATCTTACTCCTGATAATATTAATGGGAAACTTCTGTACAAGATGCAACTACCCTAGGGTTCTCATGCACGAGTTCATGTCAATAGAACCACTACATATAGAGCTCATATGCTTACTGGTAGTTAAACATCTCTATCCCATCTTTCTCCTACATAATTATTACCATCTTGACAAAGTTCTACTAAGTCATAATTAATCATCACTGATAAACAGTATCGAGACAAAATCAAGGATAGACAACACTACAACATATATAAGTTTGGGATGACCATTTATTACAAAGTATGTAATGGGTTCACAGCTGAACAGGAGTCGCACTATTAACCGAAAGTCCCATAATTTTACGTGAATCAAATGCCACCTTTTAACAGCCCCCTCCACATTCTTCCATTCCAAAACAAACACGGAGTCTTAAGCGTTCACAACGCCTGCTGATCTTAGGTATGTCTTAGTATGGCCTAGTCTCTGGTTCGGCCGCGGCTGCCGCTGCGGCTGCTACCCTGGCGTGTGTTTGTGCCAGATAGTCAGTAAATTCCTGGTAGGGTGGCTTTGTGAAAACAGTCTCCTTCCACAAGTCGGGTGTCAGGTAGCTGTAGGTGCGAGCGATTGCCTCGTATGTTGCCTTTGCTGCAACAGAGATATTTACCTTTAGTGTGCAGCTAATTAGCAAGCACAATGCCTGCAGTGTGTACAGACAATTCTTCCCATGTGGTTATTTAAAAACAACAACAACAGTATATCAACTGCCTAAGCACATTTTGACCACCATAATTACTGACAATAGTTTTATTTAAAACTGGACAGTTTGTGATTCATATTATTTACTATATGGTAAAATGGCCAAAATCTTCAGCTATCTAAAAGCAGCATTTGGGACTGGTGTCTTTATCATATATGCATTTTCCATTTGCTTTTGGCGAGTAGACAAACGGCTGTTTTATTTGCTGCGACTGCCACTGCACACTGAAGAACTCAAAACTTGCAGTAAAAAATCACGGCATGGCACTGGTGGGGATGACAACTCACCAAAGTTTCCCAGTGTGGATGTGCTGCCCCTGGCCGAGGTGTAGCAATCCTCTATGCCGGCCATATGAAGCAGCTTCTTGGGCACGGGCGCAGACACGATACCAGTACCGCGTGGGGCAGGGATCAACCTCACAAGCACGCTGCCACACTTACCCGTCACCTAAAACAACATCACAAAAACCCATTGAATTCACACTGAACAAATGTTATACTGATTTGACCACAAAAAGGCAGCCACGATAATTACCTAACAAATACGTCTACAGCAATATCATTTT